CCATATTTATAAAAAATGTATTTATTTTTTTAAACTTACGACCTTTCATGGTATACTCCATAGCATAATTTATGCTTTTATGTATTAGACTATTTTTATGCATTTATTTTTGAAGATTTTAAGGTATGGTCTGGACTGACTGCCTAATTACTATTTGTATGTATTTTAGATGTATCTTGCCAAGTTCGAGTACAAGAACACTGTGTACAAAGATCTTTTGAAATGCTTGCAAGAGGTAAATTAAGGACCTATATTCTATTTTCAAGTTGAAATGATATGATAAGATAATGACAAATGTTTCCCACAATGATCAGGAGACAAAAGAAGATGTGGAAGGCTTCATGAGCACATGGATTGAGCAAGTGGGGTATCCAGTAATCACCATTATTACCCAGACAGGGGAGACTTCTCAAGAACACTTTTTACTAAAGCAAACACAGGGCCATGAGTGAGTTTCAAGAATCAAATTGCTGTTTACAATAGTATCATATTATTGAATTATTTAACATGGCACTGGATTTAAACTACTATCAAACAAAAAAGCTATAAGTAGCTTCCTTAGCCAAACTAACTTTTATTGATTCATTCAAATATTGTTTATTTTCTTCCTAACAGTATTGCATGGCAAGTTCACATCAGATACATTAAGGACAGAGATCTTACAGAGAAAAACGATATACTGAAAGTAAAAGGTCCAGGTAAGGAACAAATAAACATTAAAGCATCATTTCGAATAATAAAAATGAAACCTGGCAAAACAACAGGCATAAATCTGCAGTCACTGTTAGTTGTGATTAACCCTGCTGCTCATTCCTGCATCCCTCCTTACAGTCCGAAGGCCACACTTTCAACTTCAAGACAAAGATGAGTGGCTCCTCGCAAACGTCAACTGCGCTGGCTTTTTCCGTGTCAACTACGATGAAGAAAACTGGAATAAGCTTCGTATGCAACTTGAAAGATATCATCATGTGAGTATCTTTAAAGAAATATTAGTATCCCTTCAAATCAAATATTGAACGGGAACGCAGACGCGAACGCTTGGCCAACACGCGGTCTGGTTCTGGACATCGTAAAAATAATTCATGTGACATCAGCAAAGAAAACAAAAATAATGACTTTATTCAACAATTTCTTGTCTTCCATGTCAGTCTTCGACGTGCGTTCAAATTGTTGAATAAAGTCGTTATTTTTGTTTTCTCATGGACTATTTTAACAATGTCCTAACTACCTTTCGGGGCCTTGAACGAGTCAGTTGCGTTGCTGTCTATGCAGGGTCAGAAAGCTTTGGATTTCATCAAAAATATCTTCATTTGTGTTCCGAAGATGAATGAAGGTCTTACGGGTTTGGAAAGACATGAGTGTGACTAATTCATCTTTGGGTGAACTTACCCTTAAAATGCCTTAAACTGGCTTTTAAATGAGCCTGACTGGCTCTAAGCAGGCTTTTGAAGACCGCTGTCACATTTGAATACTTTCTAGTTTTTAAATAACGAGCAGATTTTTGACACCAAGTGGGCAAAAAGTTGAAAACATTGCACCGATTTTGCAGTCGGTTGTTATTTGGCGTGGGGCCACCCTGGCCACCTGTGATCACGTACTTACATAAAGTAGGTTTTGTCATTAATACTGATGTGATCAAAAGTGGCTTAAAATCTTATTAATCTATCTTTAGGTCATTCCAATCATCAACCGAGGGCAACTAATTGATGACGCTTTTAATATTGCAAGGTAATTTTTCAGTTGACCAATGTTGTAAAGAATTATTTGGCTCGCTGTGATTTGTTGCTGCATATTAACTGATCATTTCTGTATAGGGCTCATCGCCTCAACGTCACTATTGCACTAAGTCTAACCAAGTACCTAGTAAATGATACTGAGTATATTCCATGGGAGTCAGCACTGAAAAACCTGGATCATTTAATCCTTATGTTTGATCGCTCTGAGGTCTACGGTCCGATAATGGTGAGCATAAGGACACAGTCTCCTGAATATGTGCATAACAGTGAAAATTGTGATACTCAGCATTAACTGTACAATTCTATGTCTAGAAATACATACGCAATCTAATCACACAACTATATGACCACTTTGAGGAGTACACAATAAATGGAACCGTTCCTGAGAAACACACTGACCAGTAAGCAGCATTTTTGTCTTGCTTTATATATATTTTGTTGGACATCTAGCAATCATTATTTATTTTGTTTCCCTTTCAGGTATAACCAGGTAAATGCTATTTCAGTAGCCTGCAGCAATGGCCTTACTAAGTGCATAACAATGGCTAGAAGTCTATTTGAAGATTATAAAAATGGCACCAATGAGTGAGTTGCGCCTTTAAGTTTAAATTAAATTACTGTCAATTACAGTTCTACAATATAGATAAATTAGATTGACTTGAATGAGCTTTTTACATTTAGCATTCATCCGAATTTGAGGAAAGCAATCTACTGCAGTGCAATAGCTAGCGGTGATGAGTATGATTGGGAATTTGCTTGGATAGAATACCAAAGAGCCACGGTCGCTGCCGAGAAAGACAAACTAAGATACGCCTTATCATGCACCAAAGAAATCTGGCTGCTCAACAGGTCAGTGCAGAGATATAAGCTTTATATCATCTCAACGACCCATTTTGTGTACTTCATACTCACTATTGACGTTTGTAATACCACAGATATCTTCAGTACACTCTTGACCCTTCAAAGATAAGAAAGATGGATATGGTCTCTACCATAAACTACATTGCCAAAAACGTCGCCGGCCAGCCTCTCGCTTGGGATTTCGTCCGTGGGCACTGGTCCTACATCACCCAAGAGTAAGTTATGATTTTTACATTTATTTAAAGTCACCAATGAAATCAAAATGGAAAATTCTTATTTTTTAATGGAATACTGTAGTGTTTATTATAAATAATTTATCCGTGCACTTCATTATTTTTTTTAAATTCATGTGCCCTCGTAATCTTTAATCAAAAACGTTAACCTCCCCTCCCCCTCAAAACGACTCCTCTACTCTTCCGGTCATGAGCTATGGCGCAAGGGCGGAGCTATCTGGAACTGCCAGCAGCTGCAGTGACATCAGTGACGTTTGGAATTTTGTTTTTTGGAAATTGAAATTGGAATTCTCCATTTTGTTTGCAACGCCCCAACTTCCAACGATCCAATCAATTCCCGAAGGATGAAATCAAGTCCCGCCCTCTCATTTCAGATGCCGTTTCACTTGGATATACGTCACAGCAGAGAAGAAAAGACAACCGCAACTTCCGTTTCATGCCGACTTTAAATTCAATGAATGGAAACTAGAGAGGCAAATGAAATCACCATTAAGTTCTTGTGCAAATGGCTCATTCTGCAAACATGAGGATGTTCAGTTAAAAAAAGCCAATGATGAATTATAAAATGTAAATCTCGTAAACTCTGGCGGGAATAACTACAGCAATCAGGAAGTTGTAACACCAAAGTAACATAAAAGAATCAAAGATCAGGAGCAATTCAGGGTCCAAAGGCTGCCTTCAGCTATAAATGAACGATAGTCCTAATTGTCTTAAAGGTTTTATCACAGTTGCTTGGAAACCATAAATATATGGACATATGACTAACAATCATCTCCTTTGGGCAGGTATGGAGCGGGAGTCGTGTCTTTAGGCAGTCTGCTAGATGCTGTGACAAAAAGGTTCTCCACGGACGTCGAACGTGAAGAGGTGCTCTTTCATTCTTCTAGTTATTGTGAAAGTGTAATAGTTGACAATGTCTCAATCTGTAATTGTGTTTCCACCATTGATCTTACACAAACCCAAATTGTCTCTACACAGCTGAAGCAGCTTCAGAGGGAGCAGGAAGAGAAAAACCAGGGCCTTGCAGCTCGAGCTTTGGAGCAGGTCATTGAAAGGACAGAGGCCAATATTAAGTGGGTGAAAGAAAATAAGCAGATTGTTAAGGACTGGTTCATTGGAGAGCTTTAGGATCTTTTAGTTTTTGTAGGCCTGCACAATCAGAGTATACTCAGTGGAGCCAATACAATCAAAAACAGATGTAAAGGCGTTTCACAATGAAAGCAACCCCCTCCTGTGGTTCTGAGATGGTTTTGAACAAAAGACCACTTTCACTGGAGAATTATTCAAGCTTTAGAAGGGAAGAACAAAGAATGTGCCATTTTAAAATGGCTACATAACACATTCCCTATGCTATGTTGAGTAGTTAATGCCAAATCTATTGTGTATATTAGAGAAAAGGCCAAGAATGAATGTTGTGGACCGCTTAATTTATTGCCTTTACTATAATTTAGTTGATATTACTGACTAAGTATTGTTTACAATGATGAAATCACATCTAAGCACATTTAAAAAAGCACAGTATGCCATTCGTTTTATTTGTATAGTTTAATTTAATTAAAATACATATAAAAAATATAAAAGCTAGTATTTTGAAATATTACATTTTATAGAACCACAGCCATTATTTTGATCTCTGTGAATGACTGATTGAAAACCGAATGACAAAGGTTATGATGTGTGTTTTTATGAGACTTAATATTTGTATTGGAGTCAAACATGTAAATCTTTAAATAAAGTGCAATCTTTTTACACAACAGTTTTTTCTCTTTTTAATTTTTTTGTATTCATACTCCAATAGATCTTTGATGTTATGATAAGGGATGCACAATATATCAGATTGTCTATATTAGATATTTCATTGTACATGTTTTACATTTAGATAACCTTTGCTGCCGTTTAAACGGTCATTTATGTAATCTTTAGGAAATCTCAAAAGAAATATACACTTTTATACTGTACATAATGTTGTGATGCCTAAATTCAATTGTAGCATTTAATACAATTAATTTGAGTAGTTTTTATTGTTTTAAAATAATGACATTAATTGGCTATCAGGCATAATTGTAATATTGCTGCATCTCTAAATATGATATAGTACAACTGTTTTCAATTTACAGTGCTTAATGATCTTTAGGATATATCTTTAATACACACATAAAATACTTAAGTACATTATAATATATAAAAGTCTTCATTTACAATGGCACTTTTGCTGTTTATGATACTTTCATGTGATAATATATGAATACTGACAGTTAGGTCTTGTTTTGTGGTGTAGCCGTAAATATACATTTGGAGGACAGATAAGGCACCGTGATGCAATCCTTGAAGCTCAATGGTGTCATTCAGTCATCCTGAAAACAAAAACCCCAAACACCACATAAAAGAGATGTTACAGGTTTGCACAATGAAACTCCAACAAATCCTGTTCTGGATCATTGCATTAGTTTCACTTCGTCTTAAACCTAATAGAAAATGGTAAAAAAGATTACACATCTGTTCATGATAAACCCATTTCCTAAGCCAATTCTTTATGTGTTCAGAGCAAACACAAAACTTCATCAATTGAGCAGAGAATCTTACCCATTCTTCATCGTCTGCTCCCTCGCCCTGACCGCCACTCTTCCCTGCATTTTCCTGATCTGCTTTGTTAGCCATTATTTTCTCTGTCCACGATGCTCCAGCGTTCTCATCTCCTGCAAAGTTGCATTTCGTCACTGTACCACTGTCCAGTTTGGCGAAGGAAACTAGACAGACAAAACCAGACAGAACAGCACATGTAGCCACCTTGATTTACACAGTATGTACAGTATATACTATTTTCAGCATTGTACTTACAAATAAAGGGCCCGTCTCCTTTCGTTTTAAGACGGATTTCTTGGCCTGACTCGAGCTCTGTTCTGTCCATCTCTGCTTCTGAGATCCAGAATGCAAAGGCCTGACTAGGACAATGTTTTGCTGTTACTTTAACCAGCTGATCCTTATTCACAATGTCACTCAGTTGGCGCTCATTTAGACAATCTGTTTCACCCTTAGCCTCCACTTCTGCAAGGTTGATACACACAAACCAAAACAACATACATATAATAGTCTGCTTCAATACATCAAGATATTTTTGGTAAATCAGCATTTACCAAATCATATATGTACTTACAAGAGTTTAATCAAGTTTTTATTATTGCATGGTATAACTGAATGCTGTTAGAACAGGTTGCCATTAAAATGCACAGTAAAAAACCTGCCATATCTAAACCAACTGGATTTTTTTTTTTTTAAAGCACTTAATGGTTACTCACTGAAGGATGACATCAGATATCCTGTGTTGACCTTTCTTGTATCACTGAAGTTAGGTTCAATCTCATTTCCTTTTGAATCATATTTTCTGCGATGGATTTTGCTTGGTTTGACATACAAAACATTGTAGCGCTCCTGAAATTAACACAAAAGCAATTGTTGAATCACTAAGTGTAATGGGAAACATTACTAATGAAAATATTTGTCTTTTTATGAAAATAAAGTAATATACTCAACCTTTCAAAAGTTTGGGGTTGGTACAATTTTTGTCTTTTATGCTGATCAAAATACAGTAAAAACATTAATATTTAACATTAATAAAATGTATTAAAAACATTAATAAAAAACTGTTTTCTATTGTACTACATTTTAAAAAGTCATTTATTCCTGTGATGGCAAAGCTGAATTCTCAGCAGCAATTACTCCAGTCCACAGTTTCTATTCTATATGCAGATTTGCTGCTCAAGAAACATTTATTACTATTATTATTATTATTAATGTTGAAAACTGTTGTGCTGCAGTGCTTAATATGTTTGTAGAAAGTACATTTACGGTCTCTCTTGCTATTATAAATCTATGGTAACGTTGTTATTAAACACCGCTGTTGTCACATACAAAACATTGACGAAATATTCTGAACGGTTGACGATGTGAAACAGATCACATATTAATTTACTTAATTTATTGTGTTTTTGCACAGTATTCAAAGTAGAACGTTCAAAAGAACAGCGTATTTAAAATCGTGTTATGTAATTTTACGGACCCCATACTTTGGAACGGTAGTGTAAATTAGTGAACGGTCATGATTCCAGAAAACAACTTGAGTTTCTTAATTGAGGAAGAATTTTAAGTTCTCTTAACCTTTCTGTTGTTCACATCTGTTATGACATGGCGTGACATTTCCACGACCGCCCCCTCTAAAATGACACCATGACCACTGGAAAGTGAAAATTATAAATAAAATACAATGCGAGAGCCAAGAAGAAAATTATACTTACAAAAAAGTACCATGGCAGCCATAATTTCCGACAGGACGACATTTACGGTCTCTCTTGCTATTATAAATCTATGGTAACGTTGTTATTAAACATACAACACATACAAAACATTGACGAAATATTCTGAACGGTTGACGATGTGAAACAGATCACATATTAATTTACTTAATTTATTGTGTTTTTGCAGTATTAGCTATAACTTCACTAACTATGGCATTTGGAATATTTGAAAGGGAAACTATGGAGAAGTAAACCAGGCTGTGCTGTGCATCGATGTCGACGTGTGCAAAAACCATGCATACACTTTAAAGTATTACCTCTGGTGAACTAATGGATCCCATGTGGAGGAGAATTTCTCATTATGGACAGGTTTGTTTAATAGCGCAGTGTTGTCATAAATGCGACTCATCTTCTGCCGATGATTTGGATTTCGTCGAAAGCTGCTGCTACTTCCTGGTTACGTCATCATGAAATCTCAATCCATGAAACGCAATTTAACTCCACTTTAATATACTGCATAAAATATATCCTGTTAACTCAACTGTTTCCAAATATGTTGATATTCCTAGTAGCTGCACATTTTGTGGCAACGAAGACAAAACCTTGTGAATTTGTTCAGAAGTTTTGGTTTGACTTGTAGCTATTCAACAAACCCCTATCTTTGCACACTCTTTTAGCTTGAAAGATAGCCTACTATTTGTTATTACTCTGACTTAAGAATATATTTTAAATTTTTTTATTTTGTTTGGCAAATTTTTCATCCATAAAACAAAAATGTATGGGCTATTCCTACTCTTTAACATTTTCCCACTGCTCACATCTTTTTGTTTGACTAGCAATAAAAAATGTGTCAGGTTTTTGGAACTATATGAAAAATGTATTTCTATTGACTCCGATTAAGTTTAGATAGATTTCCTTCATTGCTCTTTTATTTTTATTATATTTTCCCCTTTATTGTAAGCTACATACCCCCTTATTGTGTTTTATTTCTCCTCTTTTTCTTACTTCTATCTTCTTTTCTTTGTTAATGTTCTCCTGAAGGTGATTGTATTTTCATAAAATTTTTTGGAATCATAAAAAAAGAAACAATTTAACGATGCAGGGAAATACAGGTGCATCTCAATAAATTAGAATGTCGTGGAAAAGTTCATTTATTTCAGTAATTCAACTCAAATTGTGAAACTCGTGTATTAAATAAATTCAATGCACACAGACTGAAGTAGTTTAAGTCTTTGGTTCTTTTATTTGTGATGATTTTGGCTCACATTTAACAAAAACCCACCAACTCACTATCTCAACAAATTAGAATACTCCATAAGACCAATAAAAAAAAACATTTTTAATGAATTGTTGGCCTTCTGGAAAGTATGTTAATTTACTGTACATGTACTCAATACTTGGTAGGGGCTCCTTTTGCTTTAAATTCGGCGTGGCATGGAGGTGATCAGTTTGTGGCACTGCTGAGGTGGTATGGAAGCCCAGGTTTCTTTGACAGTGGCCTTCAGCTCATCTGCATTTTTTGGTCTCTTGTTCCTCATTTTCCTCTTGACAATACCCCAGAGATTCTCTATGGGGTTCAGGTCTGGTGAGTTTGCTGGCCAGTCAAGCACACCAACACCATGGTCATTTAACCAACTTTTGATGCTTTTGGCAGTGTGGGCAGGTGCCAAATCCTGCTGGAAAATGAAATCACTTCAGTCTGTGTGCACTGAATTTATTTAATACACGAGTTTCACAATTTGAGTTGAATTACTGAAATAAATGAACTTTTCCACGACATTCTAATTTATTGAGATGCACCTGTATGGTGTACCTTGCAATTGTTACTATATATATATATATAAACACATGTAAAATAAGAGTTTAAAATATTTTATCCATTTTTGTTGATTTGAAAGGGAGGGTAATTAATTAACTTACCGTTTTTATGTCATGAGTCTTATTAATATCTATTTGGAAAACACCAGAATAAGATTTTTTCTCTTTCATAGAAATATCACATTGCTTTGTGACATTTAAAACATTACACAACCATGCATTATAATAAATCACTACATTTTTAAGTTAAGGCATAAAGCATATCATATATTTATTTTTTGAGAGAGATTTGATAGCTGCATATTCTTTATATAATCAATTAAACATGGCCAAATTCACAGAATACTGGCCGCTATATGGCTATAACAAGGCAATAAAACTCTTAATTTCTGTTATCCAGATACAGCTGGTATGACAGTTTGATTACCATTTGGCAATCCAGCAATAAATGTTATGGTAAGCTTTATAGGATATTTTAGATGCAAAGTCGGCAACACCAAAGCTCCAAAAGTATCAAAAAATTTATTTTTTAAAAAGACTGTCAAGAAGCATTTCTGTTTTTAAAGGGAACAAAGGTGGATTTACCTCTAAAACCAGTCCGATGTTGTTCACTAGAATTACAGTCCTCTCTAGATGTACCACAGTCACTGTCCCGTAACTCAGAGGTTATATCAGACGTAGAGGCTCCGGAGTCCAATGACCCAGGCAGGCATCAATTAATGTCATTAAACAATATTTTGAGAATTACATTTGTGTATTTTGCATAGCTTTATATATGTTTTTGATTTATTTTTATTTTTGGTTTCTATGTTTTTCTCCTTGGTTGATATGTTATTGTTTTGGTATTATTATTATCACGATAATATTGTATGGTCATGTGACCTTTGATCACCTGGAGGTAGGCCTATGAAGTTTGCGATATCAGTGTTGTTCATTTGTCTGATGAAGAGCCTGCGTGCTCGAAACGTCATATATGCTATGCGACAGTCTTTTTAAAAAATAAATTTTTTGATACTTTTGGAGCTTTGGTGTTGCCGACTTTGCATCTAAAATATTTCTACTTGTTTTTTGGTCGAGCACCCAGTTGAGATCGATGTGCGTGCTTTTGCCTGCTCTTCACAAGCTTTATAGGATAACAATACCTGAGACTGTTTCCCAGAAGGCAAATCTCAGATTACCAACATCTACATACTTTAACACATGACTATAAAGAATTCCATCTTGAATATTTAGGCTCTCTGTTATGGTTTGAAAGTACAATGTCTGTCTGAGTTATTTCTTGACCATTAAATAACTTAATGATTAGTCCTGGCTTTTTTAAAGTTAGTCCCTTGTGTCAGTCTGATTCGCTGGTCCCTTCCCGAGCTTGATGTGTCTTTGAGACTGACTGATGATTCACATTGTCACAGGATCCCCTGTAGAAATGAGTAAGAATACATTTTATCATTATATTTTAAGTATTATATCCTCCAAGGACAGCTGAGACACCCTTACGGTAACAGCCAGTAAACTGTCTCTAGATAAGCTTAAATAAACGCAAGATAACATCATACCTCTTCCTCCAAATCAACTTCACATCTTTCGTGACTATATGAGCATTGTGGACTCTGCTCTGAGTTTCCACCTGTAAAAAGCACCACCTCAGAGATAAACTGTCCTGAGCAACAGCCACGAAGTCTCGATATAGCACCAATAAAACACAAACCCAATAAATGTTTAGAAGCAAAGCTCTTTCTCATATGTAATGAGTCAAGTGTCTCACTTTATTACCCAACCAATGTCATATCTGCTGTTTTACGTCAACAGTTTCTTACAGTGTTTTGGAAAGTCCCGCAGCTGGATATTTAACCACGCATTGCGTCTCTGAGCCCATCCACCCGGAGCTTCCACTTCATAGAGACGCTCTCTTTCGTCTTCGTGGATCTCAAGATACTTTTTACAAACTGTAAACAATTATTTCAACAAGCTGTGTAAGCTTTGGGTGTCAGGTTTCTATTACATAAATAATCACAGATAAGAGCCAATGTAACCACTCTTATCAGTTCAATGTTGAGCGATTTGAGTATTCTGCACACAATCTAAAGCCATAGGACTACCCTGCCCCTGCCCTGCCCCTTTTCAAAATTCTAAATTATTCAAAAGTGCCCCTCTCAGACAAATAGCAATGATATTGTGGTCAATAAAACAAAATGCATTTGAATTATAATTAACATGGCTATGTGTACAAAACAGTAACTAATTGCTCAAAAGTCGGAAAATTCTTGTTTATTTTTATATCTGTCAATCTGAGGCGTTGCTATGGGTTGCGTGCGTTTTTCTTGACTAACTGATATTCCACAGTCTGTTCATAAACCTAGGCCTAGCGCCAAAAGTCACAATAATGGAAAGCAGTATCCAATTCACTTGTATTTATGTGTAGTGATATACGTTTACTATTTCATGAAACTATCATAGTTAATGAAGCACAAGTGCCACCTAGAGGCCTATTATGTGAAGTGTAGGCTGGCGAAATGGTGACGTGAAAGGACTTTATTATATTCCCATTTTTGATATTTATGCAGCATTATAAAAGTGTCTTATGCTCATCAAGCCTGCATTCACCTTTTCTTAATCAATTTAACAAATCCTTGCTGAATAAAAACTAATTTCTTTACAAAAAAATTAATTAAAAAATAAATACTGACGTCAAGTTTTTGAACGGCAGTGTATATAATTACAGAAGTTATATATTAAATAAATGCTGTTCTTTTTTAACTTTTTATTCATCAAAGAATCCTGAAAAAAAGTATCACAGGTTATAAAAATATTAAGCAGCACAACTGTTTCCAACATTGATAATAAATCAGCATTGCATAAAATATATTTTAAGTATATTACAATTTTGATCAAATAAATGCAGGCTTGATGACTATAAGTGACTTCTTGCAAAAATATAAAATAGTAATGTATCCAAACTTTTGACCTAGATAATTTTTTTTTTACATTGCCCCTATTTTACATTTGAGCCCCTGCCACTGAGGAACTTTCTACAGGTCGCTGAGAAACACTGCCATTTAAAAGTTTGGGGTCAGTAGTTTTTTTTTCTTTTTTTTTTTAAAGAAATTAATGCAAGGATGCAATTCATTGATCAAAAGTAACATTAAAGACATCTATAATGTTACAATAGATTTCTATTTCAAATAACTACTGTTCTTTTGAAATTTCTGTTCATCAAAGCATCCTGAAAAATGTATCACGCTTTCCACAAAATATTTAGAAGCACAACTGTTTTCAACGCTGATAATAAAAAAAATTTCCTGAGAACTAAATCAGCATATTAGAATGATTTCTGAAGGATCATGTGACACTGAAGACTGGAGTAATGCCTGCTGAAAATTTACATTGCCCCTATTTTACATTTGAGCCCCTGCCCCTGAGGAACTTTCTACACGTCGCTGAGAAACACTGCCATTTAAAAGTTTGGGGTCAGTAGTTTTTTTTTCTTTTTTTTTAAAAAGAAATTAATGCAAGGATGCAATTCATTGATCAAAAGTAACATTAAAGACATCTATAATGTTACAATAGATTTCTATTTCAAATAACTACTGTTCTTTTGAAATTTCTGTTCATCAAAGCATCCTGAAAAATGTATCACGCTTTCCACAAAATATTTAGAAGCACAACTGTTTTCAACGCTGATAATAAAAAAAATTTCCTGAGAACTAAATCAGCATATTAGAATGATTTCTGAAGGATCATGTGACACTGAAGACTGGAGTAATGCCTGCTGAAAATTCAGCTTTACCATCGAAGGGACAAATTACTTAAAAAAATATATTACAACTGAAAACATTTATTTTGAATTGTAATAATACATTGCAATATTAATGTTTTTGCTGTATTTTTGATCGAATAAATGCAGCTTTGGTGAGTAGCTATAAGAGACTTCTTTCAAAAATCTTACCAACCCAAACTTTCTAACAGTAGTATAATTTAAAATTTGAGCATTTTATATTTTTATCCTTTACATGCAAATATCACAGCTAAAAAAATTTTAAAGTGAAAAGTAATTTAAAAAATGATCAACCACGATCAACAAACAATCAATCAACCAACCATAAAAACAGTTATTTTATTGTTTTAATATGATTATGCTATGCTTACCAACCCAAAACCTTTGGATGTTAGTGTATACATACCTCCATACATGCCAGGTGACATAGGAAAGCTAATTCCCAGAATCGCCTCAGAGGGTTGAGAGGAGCAGAAATCCTCCAACATCTGTAAAGCGAGCCCAGTCCTTCTCCAGTGAGAGCGAACAAACACTGTGTCCAGCACAGGGAGCTGATAACTCTGGCCAGTGCAGCTGTCACACAGGCTGCCTATAAAACACACACACACACAAAAATTACTTTTTTTTTATATAGAAGTAAACAAACCACCCACCACAAACCTCTAAGCATGCTAGAACTAAAACATATATACCCTTTTTTTTGATGGTGTAAAACCCTACTGCTTCTCCATTTTGCCAGAGAATTTTGCCATGTTCCCGCAAGGAATAGGCCGAAAAATATAGGTCTTCTTCAAGAGACCTTTCCAGAATTCCAAATATAACTTGACTGAGCAGAAAGAGCACAACTCTCTCCATCACTGATTCCACCTGGAATGACAAGAACCATCAGAGGCTTCATGGAAATGGTGACAATGTTAAGATTATGACATTTCTGGTCAAAACATTTTGTTTGCAAGGCTAACGGTTACTCACTAACAAAAGTCCACGTCTTGATTTGTTTGATGTCTTCAAAACATCACCAACGGGCCACCATTTGCCTAGCAAGTACAGTGCAACCACTAAAAGAGTAGGCTATATATTATCCAAAATGAAACAGAATGACAGAAAACAGGTAGTGAAACGAAAAACGTAGCATGCGCAAGACCTTTGGTTTCATCCTCAGGTGTGTGGAGAGCAAGAATGTAATGTGATAAATCACCATCTCTCAGAAACGCAAGTCGACCAATGTTCTCACAAGTTACTTCCACCTGTTATCACAAATATCACACTTTGAGGAACTGAAATTAGGAATTTATCTCAAATTAGTAAACTGCTTACCCACACAGCATATTTGTCCATCATAGATGCTGGCTAGGCAGGCAACTAATTTTTGAGACAATATAACTAAATTCACTATTGAACGCAAATGTGTATGTTCTGACTTTCTCTCCATGTGGAAGGGTGATAGGGACAGCACCATCTGACTTGACACGGGACAGGTATTCGTCATATCCTGAGCTCAACTCGCCATAATGCCGCACAGGTAGATCCACTGGATAGGGTTTCACTTGAAAGACGACATTTGATATGTTTACACAGTTAATAACATGGACCTTTAATTTCACGATGACATTATGGCACACTTTTCAGCAATGCTAAATTACTTAATTAGTAGTAGCACTTTATTGATTGTTGCAGAACTGCGCTTATGTGAGTGTTGACAGTCTGACTGACTGGCGAACATAGCGCGAGAGAATGTTTGCATGCTAAACAAACCTTTAAAACTCTTTTTAAAATGATCAATTTTTGGAATGCTCACATAATCAATTTTGGAAATGCTCTTAGAAAGCCTGTACTTACCTTTTAAACTACTCTCCATTTTGATAGTTGCTCGACCTTTGAATGTTTCTCAACAAACGTGCGCCATCTAGTGACTATAAAGTACGAAGGGGAGAAATTAATTCATAAATATTTTAACAGTCCAGAAGTCTTCAGGTCTAGTCTACATAGACTGAGCAGACACCTCCTATTACATAATGTATAAAATTCAGTGTTGTATTTTAGCCTGGCATATATGCAACTTGCATATAGTGTCATAATATATCACCAGCATTATCATCATCATCAGGATTTATTTCAGTCCTCGCATTTTTTATAATAAATATAGATAACTATATACACTAACCCAAAAAGCTGTAGGCTGAAGCCTTAGCTTATTATACCTACCTTTCTTCATTATAATAAGTGTCACCTTCAATCCTTGGTTTAATCTACACGAAAAAAAAATTAAGACAACATTTCATAACATTTCACAATATATTAAAATAATTGTTTCAAGTATTACATTTACAAATAATCTGTAAAAAGTAAACTACGCATTCTTATTTCCGTGTCATGGTATTAAGTTTATACTGGCATTTTTTTTTTTTTGCTATGATGCTTACATTGCAAACCCACAGTCAGACTCGAGTCATGATAGTCAAAACTGTATTCATTGTATATTAAATATATTAAAATATTTTTGAATTAATCTTTAAAGGTCTCCTCTGGGATGGTTATTAATAATAACAACTGTGCCCTTTCTCTGTCACCTCTGTCTCTCTGCAAGTAAATGAAGCATTTAAGGTTAAAAACCAACCACATTCAGTAAGTTACAATGCCAACCAATACCATTTCCAAACAGTCACTGGCAAGTATTTACACTGTCCACAAGATGGCAACAACATCATATCAAAACATGTTTTGAGCCACATTCTTTTCCTGCAAAAAAACATGTTTAACAACAAATAGGACAAAAATGTAAGTCTGAGAGCAAAAATTTGCAAAATAATTAAATTCATGGTCATTCTCCTGTAGTATTGATTTTATTGTTTTTACATACATTCTTCAAAATTGTACCAAAAATGTTACATGTTAAATACAAGGTTTATAATCTTATAATATAACCTTTCTTGTTCTACAACAGCCGGAAATCACAATAAAACAATACCAGACAGAACTGCATGACCATATTATCAACAGATATGACAACATATATCATATATATTTTTTCATTCTTTGATGAGAGCCTTAAGGTTTCATGTGACACAAATGCACTATTCGAGTTCCTTTCTGACCTTGATTTACTACTTACGACTGCAGTAATATAGTACACTCTGAATCTCTCCTGCTATGGAAAATGCGTTCTGCATCCGTTTTATTCCCATCTCCCTTCATCTCCATTACCCATAAACCACCGACTTCCCCCTGAGAAATTGCAGACATTTCTGAAATTCCTTTCACAAGGAAAGGCTAGCTTGGATTGTTAAATATGCTTTTGTAAAGCTGAGAGTTTATCCTCAAAAGGGATTGACTGTCACTCGGCTGTTGAACTGCCAAGGATATTTGGCATCAGAGCAAATATTGCAGCAAAGTAAATTGGCCAAAAGACTTTAAATACAAAACACCTATGTGGTTTCTCTTTAAAATGTAAAACAGGATCTAGCTTTGCATATCAGTGAGTTTCATACTTGTTTTCCTTCCTTGCTTTGTCATCAGCCTGTTTGTGTAACCCATGCGGGATTCCTTAGGTGTCTTCAATCCATGTCACATGATCAGATTTTACAAGAGGATTATGACATTGGCCTTGGCTATATCGAACCCTGACCTAATATGTAACCCATGAAAGATGACACTGACAAAAATAATGTCATTCTCACTCATCTAGACTAAACTATCATGTATGGTCAACTAATGGCCACTCAAAATGTTTTGATGTTTTTGTACCATAAACTTTGCATTTATAAAATAATAAAGTAAAAAAAAATGCTTTTAAAATCTTTATAAATGTAAATAATAGTGCTGTCAAACGATTAATCGCGATTAATCACAACCAAAATAAAAGTATTTGTTTACATAATAAATGTATGTGTACTGTGTATATTCATTATGTATATATAAATACATGCACATGCATGTATAGTATATGTAAGAAAAACATGTTATATTTATATATTAAATATATTTATACATAATATAAAATATAAGAATATAAACATATGAATGTATATACATGTAAATATTTTCCAAATATATACTGTGTGTTTATTTATTTATACAGTACATAATAAATAAACAGTACACATACATATATTATGTAAACAAAAACTTTTACTTTGGATGCGATTAATCGCGATTAATCATTTGACAGCACTAGTAAATAAATAAATATCCATACATTGAGTTTAGGGGGTTTTAATTAAATTAATTAATTTTAATTACATTTTATTTCATTTATTTATAACTTTGTGTATGTAAAACACATGTAATCCAAGCAATTAAACTATAATGTAAAAGAAACAGTTGCTTTTAAAGAAAATATTTTAGGAAAAAACTAGATGGTGGATATGTACGATAGTAAATACGTGGTTGGTAATCTGAAGCTCAGGAGGAACTGCTAATAGATAATTCCAGCTAAGCTTTTTAGTGGCAACACAACAATCCAATTGATGAATCAAGGTTCATGCCATCCAAAAGAAGAGCTGAACTGCATGTTGACTGACTGCTGCACTTAAAATGAACTCTTTCCAAATTCAAGTTTAATTCAATTCAATTCAAGTTTATTTGTACAGTGCTTTTCACGATACAAATCATTGCAAAGCAACTTTACAGCAAATTAAGTTTCTACAACATTTAGTGGTAGCTTATCAGTGGTGACCAAATGACTCAGCTTTATCTTTTTCTTGCAGAAATACTGTTTATAGGGTCAAAATGATGTATTGTACAAAAAAGAGAGAGAGATTTGTTTTCCATTTTCTGGGAGTATTGCAGCAAACACATTCTCTGGGATGTTTTCCCCCTTAAAGGGGTCATATGATGTTGCTAAAAAGAACATTATTTTGTGTATTTGGTGTAATGAAATGTGTTTATGCGGTTTAAGGTTAAAAAAACACATTATTTTCCACATACTGTACATTATTGTTTCTCCTCTATGCCCCGCCTTTTTGAAACGCGTCGATTTTTACAAAGCTCATAGGTCTGAAAAGCGAGGTGTGCTCTGACTGGCCAGCTATCCAGTGCGGTTGACTCTTAACTTTTATAAAGAATATCTCTTTGGATTTGAGACTTTAGTCTTTGCAACTTTACAGACCTTCTTTATGCACCAAGAGCTTGTAACACTCCAAAGAGAAAGGAAAAATTTAAATCGCATCATATGACCCCTTTAAAATGTTTACCCAAACAGCCCAGACATAAGGAATGTCTCAACTATTATTTACAAAAGAGGAGGAAGTGAATACTTGATGTTCAGTGCTCATCTGCAATAAAGTTTTTGGCTCCTGGTTTTGGGGGTGATAACAATAATAATTGTGATCAAACCAAGCTGCTATGCGATAAAACAAATTTGTTGCACCCCTCCTGCGCTATCTTATTTTCAGCTTGTTTTTCAGGAATCTTTTCTTTTTCTGACTGTAGCTGTTCGACCGAACATAAGTGTCGCCCTCTCCTCCAAATTCCTCTTCCTGTCTGGGCTTAGATAAAATGAGAAACAAACAGTGTCATCACTATTGTTAGTGGTAAACATGCTTATTTCCACTTGACTGCCAGGCTGAAATGAAACTAAAGGAAAGGTAGTCTGGGTGGAACTGCATGAGGACAAACTCATATAGACAGAAACACAGTATCAAGGGAGTTTTGCTTTTGGTGACTGCTCTGCTTTTTCTTTTTCTGACTGTAGCTTTACAGGGGTTTAACTTTTTTTGTTTAGCCAGGACAGAGGTAATCTGGGGCACTATCCTTGTGTTTAAGCTTTGTTGTGAGCATAAAATGTTTTTTTTGTTTGTTTTTTTTGTGAGCATAAAATGTATTTTGTTTTTTTTTTCAAAAAAAGATGTATGATTATAAGAGACAGGAATGTGGGAAAGATCTTATTGCTCTGTTATCAAAATTAGTAATTTAACATGTTTAACAAGTCTATTTCCACAATATATGCTCTTTAATTAGTGGATCTTTCAACAATAATTGTAAATTCAAAGTTAGTGTCAAATATCTTAACATTGAATTTGCAGTGAGAACAGATCATTTTCTCTATAGTGCTGAAGATTTGTTGTACAAATGATCAGGAATTGAAACCATCTGTGAACATACTAAGGATCTGTTCATTGCCCAATGAGACATAAGTCATGATAAATGCTGCATTTTGACATATGGAGGCGCCAAACACAAAGTTGCAGATTAGAAGATACAAGGTCAAGGCGATTTCCAAGGCTAGAAAGAACTGAGCTGTAGTTTAGAGAACTCTGAATGCTGTTTGAGTAAGAAACTATATTTTTGGAAACACATTTCATATAATATAAAATAAAATAGTGATGCAATTTGACGCAAACAATTAATCAAATTCCACTCAAAAATAGATTTAAATGAATATAGGCCTAGGTTGTAGACATTCATATCTAAATGTAATTAATTTTAATTTATAGGGTACTGAATTCACAATTTGCAGGCCATTTTACGTTTACTCATTTCAGCGACATGGAAATTTGCAGAACAATTTAAATGCCTAAATCTAAAAACAGACTGAAATATTTTTAAGTGTGTTTAGACACCTAAATTTAACAATATATTTCAGCATTATAGACTTAGGAGCCGTAGGTCAAGTTTAATTAAAAAAAAGTGCTATTCTCAGGCAATAAGGTTGAACAGTGATGACTCTGCATCATCACGAACGAATGAATTGATTGTAATTGTAAAGCCGTTCCGTCTCAATGAATGAAATTCTACATCGGATATTACTTTTAACTGACTAGACTATGTCATTGGCAAAATATGTGCACTTCTAAAATGTGGGGCTTGGTAATATTTTGAACATAGAGAATTGATTACAAATTGTTATCGTTGTGGATAAAAATGGGATAAATATGAAGGTTATAAAAACCCATGCATTAGTTTTAATAGCTCCATCAGTTCATTCCATTTAAGAGCTCCATATGCCAGAGATGACGAATTCCAGCTTTAGTTAAATTGGAATACGAGTGAGTAGCGTACTAAAAAGCGCTATAATTATCTTATCTGAACATACACATTAAATTCACTTTACTCACACTGTCCAATCTGGCGTCTATGAAACTCGGATCGCATCTTAAAGGGCCAGTGCACTTGGATTTAAAAATATTCAATCCGTTTTCTAGGAAATTATTAACATGGTACGATCAGCACGTCCTGAGCTAACCCAATATTATGTACCCTTTTCTTATTTCATGTTTAGTTTCTTTTTGTGGCGTCTATCTTAATTATTTTAGTTTCCCAGATAAAGGTTATAGGCCTTTAGTCTACTTGCATGTATATTAATTTCACAATACATAACACATTTCATTTAATTACATTTTTTTTGTTATGCGTACAGTCAGATATTTTGTCCCTTTAGTAGGCTGTTTTATGAAGAAACAGCATAGCAGAGAGAATAGCTTTAATACAACATATGAAAAAATATGATAAAAATATAAATACAAGTCAATTCAAGTCACATATTTATATAGCATTTCATACAATATAGATTGTTTCAAAGCAGCTGTAAAATTTTAAAACAATTTTGAAACAAATTAGAAGAAAATAGTGTTATTATTCAGCTATAATAATACTATTTTCTGATAAAAAAAATTATAATTAATTTCATAAAAATATAGCCTAATAAAATGGAATAATTTTAAATGTATAAGAAATGCATATAAACTCCTTGATGTAGGCTACAATGCTGTGATTGATAGCACAATCACAGCAAAGTGTGTGATCTATCTATCTATCTATCTATCTATCTATCTATCATATCTACCTATCTATCTATCATCTCAAACTTTCTTTAGTTAGCCTAGTTTTTGCAAGACAGGAGATTGATTGTTAGAAATCTTCTAAATTCAAATGATGACGATCGATCTAGATATTCTATTTATGTAAATTATGACTATTTATAAATTAAAATGAACTAAAAATGAAATTACATTTATTCTTCAAATAAACATTATGACAGACCTGGTATAAGCGTATATTCATGTAAACAAGTTCATGGCTGGAATCATTATTGTTACGAATATACTGTCGTTAAAACAACAACAACAACAAAAACAAAACAAATTCCTGTCACCTTGACGTTTGAGATCAAATGGTGTGCTGGCGTCAACACGGTTGGTCCAGTGTTCCAGTCCATGTTTTGGCATAAAAATTATAATTTCATAAAAATATAGCCTAATAAAATGGAATAATTTTAAATGTATAAGAAATGCATATAAACTCCTTGATGTAGGCTACAATGCTGTGATTGATAGCACAATCACAGCAAAGTGTGTGATCTATCTATCTATCTATCTATCTATCTATCTATCTATCTATCATATCTACCTATCTATCTATCATCTCAAACTTTCTTTAGTTAGCCTAGTTTTTGCAAGACAGGAGATTGATTGTTAGAAATCTTCTAAATTCAAATGATGACGATTCCACTAGATATTCTATTTATGTAAATTATGACTATTTATAAATTAAAATGAACTAAAAATGAAATTACATTTATTCTTCAAATAAACATTATGACAGACCTGGTATAAGCGTATATTCATGTAAACAAGTTCATGGCTGGAATCATTACTGTTACGAATATACTGTCGTTAAAACAACAACAACAACAAAAACAAAACAAATTCCTGTCACCTTGACGTTTGAGATCAAATGGTGTGCTGGCGTCAACACGGTTGGTCCAGTGTTCCAGTCCATGTTTTGGCATTCTCTCATGCCTGGCGTGTTTCTCTGTGAGAGAAGCCGAGTCTTGTTTACAGCGGTGATTCTACCGAGCGGAGACCGTCAGAAGAGTCCGAGCGCCGCCGTAGACACTTGAGAATCAAACACTAGGCTCACAAGCTATTTATATCAAACAGTTCGTGATTTTTTACGGTGCGGAAAACCAAAAACCCACGCTCGGGAGCTGCTCACTCTTGCATCTTGGCAAAATGATTTTTTTTCCTACCGCAAAACAGACCGACCGTGAGAGCGCGTGAAGACGGTAGGCGAGGGTGAGCAGTTGGTGAAACCATTTTTGTCCTGGCGGATATTTTGGATCGAGCGCTGTCTGGAGGCTTTCATTCATACGTAAATACGCTATCCGAGTCGTCAAGCTCTTTCAACGTGACCTCAAAATTCCTCCGTACATCATCAGTATAGCGTAGTTCATCACACTGGCATACGCACATTCGCATAAGGTGTTTTTGTTGGAGGAGAAAGCGCTCGTTTCGCTGGCCGTGCTGCGCGTCCCTCTCAGGTTTTCAAGAAATGGAGGCTGAAGATGCAGATTATCGGTCGAGTGAAATTCGTGGCTCCCACACGATTGCATCATTTAATAGCTGGCAAGAATAACACAGTGTTTTAATTGATCTTAATGTTTCCATTAAAGGAAAATTATACAATTATTACCAGATATCTTTTTTCTACTCCCTCCTCGCCTCCCGTTATCTTTACGGGTAACGAAAAGGAACTATCTGCTCACCCAAAGCGGATTCTTCTGGACTTTTTGCTTGCTTACAAGAAGCAGCGTCGCGTTTTGCTGCGATTTCAGCTTTTTATTTTTTGGAAAACTGATTTTTAGGAATGAGATCTGGAACAGCGAGGGATGTTTGGACCTTATTTTGGGGTCCTCTGCTGTTTCTCTCCACCATCTGCCTGTGGTCTGCGCATGGAGAAGGTAAATCAGGATTGTGTTTTATTATTCTAATGAGGAAATTACTCCTTATATCGGTGTAGTCTTGTTTTATCGAAACCTTGATTCAATCGTTTCAGTCTCTTCGCGGTGTTTATGGACTCATGTCAAGCATGAGTTTAAGTTAACGTTACCTGCATACGCTGCTTTAGATGTTCAGGTATAGATATTCAAAAGGGCCTAGTAACACACGACCCAGTTTATTAGTGAATTATGACCTACTACTTTCATTAAATTTTACAAATTCCCTCAGACTAACAATAAACTTTAGAATTGTTTTGTTTTGATGTCTCTAGGCCCATCAGTTAATTGTCGTGACATCGGATGTGTTGTGAGTCTAGTGTGCTTTATGAATTATTCATAAGCTGGATCACGTTGGTATTTAGAAGCTACCTGAGAATTGCCTTATATAAAGCATTTGCCTCTATAATATGTATATTTTAGGTCATATTTAGTCCACACAGGTAGTAAGGTTAAACGTTACTCTAATAAGATTGGCTGAATTCAGTGAGTCTCAGTCGAGCATCACGCAGTGACTGTACAGTACATTGACCATGTGCTTGTCCTCAGGAGGGTCATATAGGGGAGTTTTGTAACACATTTTGCTTTATTGTCTGTAATTCTATGTTTGTGTATGAAGTTTGATTATAATATTCACGTATTCATATTTGTTTACTATAAATTAGTTATAGTAAACTATAGTTATAATCTGAACTGTGTAAATTAATGTTAAGTTTCAAGAGACCTGCTTATAAAAATCATGAACATTTTTATTTTCCTGCATGGATTCGTTTGGTAATAAAATGTATTTGTTCAAAAATAATTAATTTGCCACCCCCAGAACTTTGTCAGTTTCAAATTGTAAATGGAAGACAGATAAGACATATTTAAAATGGATAAAAAATGTATTTGGAAAAAATTAAATTAAATTGGAAGAAATACCTAAACTTAGCCTAACATTTGTAAAAACATAATAGAGACATACAGTGGTAAATATAGCGTATATTCTGTGCTATTTCTTATGACAAGTGGAAGTACATTGGAAACATCTGGTCAGACTTGATATGTTTTAGCTTTTTTTTTTTTAAACATGTAGATGTGAATATTTTATATCAAATTAAACGAGAGAACTTGCTGATTCAGATGATACTAGATTTATAATTAAGTGTCCATTAACTTGTTAAATTCTAAACCAGAAATTTTTACTTTCTTACCTCAAAGTAGATTTTGTGTTTAGGATTATGCTAGAGAATTGATAAGGCTTAAAGGGACAGTTCACCCAAAAATGGTCATTCTGTCATAATTTACTGACTCTCAATGGCTTTCCGTCTTCCGTGGATCACAAAAAAGGTAGATGTAAAGCAGACTTACAGTCCCAGTCACTATTTACTTTCAGTGCATGAAAAAGATGCACTGAAAGTGAATGGTGACTGAGGCTGTCAGCCACTAACATCTCCTTTTGTGTTCCACAGAATAGCACTACTTAAATGTTATAAACATTAGAGAATGGCATAAAAAGTAAGTAAATTTCCTACTTCACGGTCGATCTGTCTTTTTCAAAATGAGCGAATGTTTCGTTGGCTGAGAGACTGCAGTGTCAGAGCATTCGAACTGAATTGAGCCTCTGTCACGTAAATTATTTATGTGAAAATGAAATACCCAGCCCACAGGGTTTGGTTTGGCAAGATTGTTTGATTACCTGATAATACCTGTATTTTTGAACTACAAACAAAACTGTAATAGTTTGTAACCTGTGGATATCACAAATATTTATTGGATTATAATTGGATTTAGTCTTAGTGAGTTGTTTTTTTTGGAAGGAATGTCGCCTGGATATGCTTAAGGGAGACTCCAAAAATGAATTGTGTGTTGTGTGGCTTTTGCATGAGCATATTTGTGTATGGTTTTGTCTGTATTCACACATATAAATTCTTTGTCTCTTTTATGTCAGGATGGCAGTAATTGTGTGATAACATGTTATTCCTGCTGTCAATTTTCATGTCTTTCCATAGTTTTAAAACATCTTGTGCTTGTAGGTGGATGTATTTGTAATGTTTTTGCAGCTTTAGTGTCATCAAATGCCTAATTGTGATTGTGTGGGGGCTGCATAGTGGCATAATGAAGGTGGGCCATTCTTTGGTTTAAACTCACATTTCCATTCAAAAGGAGTTAGGATGCAATTCAAGGCCATTGACCGAAGTGGCCAGTCCCACATCCAGGCCACTTTGAATGTCAGGGGGGTAAGCTCTCATTCTTGGACTCCATCATTGCATTGTCCCATGTGTCTCTGTCTCATAAAGTGTTGCAAAGACACTCCACTGACACACTGACCTCAATCAGCGCAAAACCGGTTTAATATCTCTCTACTCTTGAGTTTGGGTCCATTTGTCAAGTTTGATTTCACTGATGTGGTATACTTTCTGACTTTAAAGTGTTGATTAGCAATGAACAGTTTTGTTTAGGCTGGGTATGATAGAATAGAAATACAATATAAGAATATAAGAATAAGAATAGAAACAAATTGTAGGATGTTAGTTGACACCAGCTAAATAATTATAGGGTTATGAAGAAGATAGCTGGTTTTGGCAATTGGATGTTTTCAGTAGGGATGCACTGATAGTAAAATTTTGTCCAATACCAATTATATATATATATATATATATATATATATATATATATACTGTTCTGTAATCAGCGGTAAATCTCCATCACCTGCCGGCTTTCACATGGAGCAGCATTAACTACACAGATGCGCGTTAAATATCGCATGCGATTTATCGTGCAGCCCTAATATTTATATATATATATAATCAATAATATGTATTATTTATAATAATTATTTATTTGTTTTGTATTATACATGTCTGAAATAAATATTCTAAAATATTTTGTCTACTTCACTTAAAAATAAAGTACCAAAAACTAAAATCAATCATTTAAAATCATTTAAAAGTGAATTTAGATGCAATGTTATAATTTACATTATGAAAAATATATTCATTTTGAGATTTGCTAAAGAGCACAGTTAAGTGTTATTAAATTACTAGTGTTTTTAAAGTGCCCTATTATGCGTATTTACAGGTTCATAATTTTGTTCAGGTTGTCTATCCATCTATCCATCTATCTATCATCTCAGGCTTATTGCAGACTTATTCCTATACTGAGTAAAAAAGTTATAAAATATTCCATCCTAAATAAATGGCCATGCTCCATTGGGAAGTCGTCTTTGGTCTTTTTTTTTCATCCTGTTTCATCCTGTTAAAAATCTGGTAAGGCTAATAAAATGTAATTTAGCCTCCTTTCAAGTTTTACCACAGTAAACTTTCCATGCCACTTTTTCCAAGTATACGGCAAACAAGCCTCTATGGTTCATTGAGAAAGAGAGGGCGAGCGAGAGGAGAAACATGAGGTTTGAAAATAGAACATGTAAAAATACACGGCGAGGGAAACAGACTTGGTTTTGTTGATTTGAAGAGTAGCGAGTTTGTGAAATGTTTTATTGGGCTTTAGCCGTTCACACGGACAGCCTCCGGACAGCCTGGCGGCGGAGTGCGAGTCACAGCGTTTGCTGCTGTCAGACGCTGACACACACACAGACTTTAAAAAACTCCGACTTTAAAAGTCCCAGCGAGGGCCAGCGTTTCTGAAAACTGCACCTCGTACTCCCGAGATGTGGCTAAAAGTTGAGATTAAAAATACATTATTCTGTAACACCCACTCCCACATTCAGCCTCGTATCTTCCACGTGTTGTTAAACGCAGGGGTTGATCTGCAGTTATGACTGTATCCATTGCTTATGAAAAGCAGGAGAGAAATGGCTGTCACCGAGGTGAGACATTCTGAAAGGAGCAAATAGTGGGTGAACTTTAAGTCTTTGGCTGTTTGTTTGATAGCCCACCTTTGCCTACTTCAGTCTGTGGTATTCGGTATTCTGGTGTTGCTCATTCTTTTCGTGACTAAGGGCGCCTACATGCTAGAGTTTTCGCTGCGTCAGATGCTCCGGATCTGTTGAATTCAACAGGGATGGTTTGCGTAAGTTTCAGGAATGAACTTCAAACTTATCCGTCTTTTTCCACAGAGCATCCTACTCATCAAATGCTTTCTCTAGTGTGTTAGCAGCGCCCCTCAGGCTAACCGAGTCTCTTCCTATGACTCAGATGCGCGCTGTATTGACCAACGCTTCTCTTGCTGTCTTCATATTTCTTTATGTCTCCCCATCCCATGTTCTGGCTCTGCTGAGTTGTGCTTCATCCTTAGTGTGGGAGCGTTCGTGCCTGTTAATCCGGTGCCACGCAGAGCTCTGAGTCATTCCCGCTGCCCCGAATCTGTGTCACTGTGCTAGTTCGTGCCTGCATGTTCACTGCTGGAGTCGAATGATCTTAAAGGTTCAGTGAGCTGCCAGATGAGGTATATGCTTAATTAAATGTTAATTTAAAATAGGCTTGCGTGCCGTGACCACCCGTAGACCATCGAATACGGGGAGTGCTTACACACTGACAGCTTCCCACAGTGTGAATTTTTTGTTATTTAAAGGGATAGTTCCCATGAAAATGAAAAATCTGTCATTGTTAAAGTTGTTCCAAACCTGTATGAATTTCTTTCAGCTGTTGAACACAAAAGAAGATATTTTGAAGAATGTTGGTAGCCAAACAGTTGACTGACTTCCATATTATTTTTTTCCAAGTTGCTACCATCAACAGTTTGGTTACCAACATTCTTCAAAATATTTTCTTTTGTATTCAGCACAAAAGTGTTCATCCACTTTAAAGCGTTTCAAAACTGCGTTTCAAAACTGCATGACTTTATTTCTTCTGTGAAACACAAACGAAGATATTTGGAAAAAATGTATGTTTGTATTTTTGTCCCTACAATGAAAATCAATGTGTCCTGGTGATGTTTTAGACACAACTTAATTTCATTGTATGGGCAAAAACCATTAAAACTTCATTTGTGTCCTGATTCACAGGTTCAAATTTGGAAGTAAA